GTGGCATTAAAGGCCACCAGGTGACACACGGGTGATAGGAGGAGCCATTCAGTGCCACCAGGTGCCACCAAGGTGACACATGGGTGACAGGAGGTGATGCTATGAGCCACCAGGTGCCATCAAGGTGACATTGGAGTGGCATTAAAGGCCACCAGGTGACACATGGGTGATAGGAGGAGCCACTCAGTGCCACCAGGTGCCACCAACGTGACAGGAGGTGACACTGAGGTGCCATTAAGTGTCACAGATGCCACCAGGTGCCACCAAGGTGACACTGGGGTGACAGGAGGTGACGCTATGGGCCACCAGGTGCCACCAAGGTGACATTGGGGTGACAGGAGGTGATGCTATGGGCCACCAGGTGCCACCAAGGTGACATTGGAGTGGCATTAAAGGCCACCAGGTGCCATCAAGGTGACATTGGAGTGGCATTAAAGGCCACCAGGTGCCACCAAGGTGACACTGGAGTGGCATTAAAGGCCACCAGGTGCCATCAAGGTGACATTGGAGTGGCATTAAAGGCCACCAGGTGACACACGGGTGATAGGAGGAGCCATTCAATGCCACCAGGTGCCACCAAGGTGACACAGGGGTGAAACTAAGTGCCACCAGGTGACATTCGGGTGCCACTCAGTGCAATTTGGTGCCAGCAAAGCCACTCGAGGTGACACCAATGTGCCATCAAGTGCCACCAGCTGCCATCTGAGTGCCACCAGATGCCATCCACTGTCCCGAGACACCACGTGGGTGCCACCAAATGCCATTTATTGTCCCCAGATGCCATCAAGGTGCCACCAGAAGCCACCTGTGTGCCATGGGGAGCCACTAGATGCCACTTGAGAGCCACCAAACCTCATTTATTGTCCCTAGATGCCACTTGGGTGCCGTTAAGCCACAGTTGGGTGGCACTTCTTGACACTCAGTGCCACTTGGGTGCCACCAAATGCCATTTATTGTCCCTAGATGCCACCAAGTTGCCACCAGGCGCCACTTGGGTGCCATGAAGTCACACTTGGGTGCCCTTAAGAACCACTATGTGCCACCTGGGTGCCACCAAACCTCATTTATTGTCCCTAGATGTCACTTGGGTGCTGCTAAATCACAGTTGGGTGGCACTTCTTGACACTCAATGCCACTTGGGTGCCACCAAATGCCATTTATTGTCCCTAGATGTCACTTGGGTGCCATTTATTGACCCTGTTGCCTCCTGGGTGCCACAAAGAGCCACCAGACACCAGATTTATTGTCCCGAGACGTCACTTAAGTGCCATTAAGTCACACTTGGGTGGCACTTCTTGACACTCAATGCCACCTGGGTGCCACCAAACGCCATTTATTGTCCCTAGATGACAGTAGGGTGCCATTAAGTCACACTTGGGTGGCACTTATTGACACTCAATGCCACCTGGGTGCCACCAAACATCATTTATTGTCCCTAGATGCCACTTGGGTGCCATTAAGTCACACTTGGGTGGCACTTATTGACACTCAATGCCACTTGGGTGCCACCAAACGCCATTTATTGTCCCTAGATGACAGTAGGGTGCCATTAAGTCACACTTATGAACACTTGATGCCACATAGGTGCCATCAGATGTCATTTATTGTCTCTAGAAGCCACTTTGGTGCCATTACGTCATACTTGGGTGGCACTTATTGACCTGAGATGCCATTCGGGTGCCATCGAATGCCATTTATTGACCCCTGATGCCACTCAGGTGCCCCCAGGTGCCATTTGGGTTCCAGCAGACGCCCATTTCTTGGCCCTCGATGCCACCTGGGTGCCTCCAGGGGCCATCAGACGCCATTTCTCAGCCCTCGTTACCATCTGGGTGCCTCCAGGTGCCTCTCAGGTGCCATCAGATGCCACTGATTGACGCCTCAATGCCATCTGGGTGCCATCAGATGCCATTTCTCGGCCCTCAATGCCATCTGGGTTCTTCCAGGTGCCACCTGGGTTCCACCAGATGCCATTTCTTGGCCTCCAACGCCAGCTGGGTGCCTCCAGGTGCCATCTGGGTGCCTTCAGATGCCATTTCATGGCCTCCAATGCCATCTGGGCGCCTCCAGGTGCCACGAGACACCACTATTTGACCCTCAATGCCATCTGGGTTCTTCCAGGTGCCATCAGATGTCATTTCTCAGCCCTCAATGCCATCTGGGTTCTTCCAGGTGCCATCAGACGCCATTTCTCAGCCCTCAATGCCATCTGAGTTCTTCCAGGTGCCATCTGGGTTCCACCAGATGCCATTTCTCAGCCCTCAATGCCATCTGGGTGCCTTCAGATGCCATTTCTTGGCCTCCAATGCCATCTGGGCGCCTCCAGGTGCCACGAGACACCACTATTTGACCTTCAATGCCATCTGTGCTCTTCCAGGTGCCATCAGATGCCATTTCTCAGCCTTCAATGCCATCTGGGTTCTTCCAGGTGCCATCAGATGCCATTTCTCAGCCCTCAATGCCATCTGGGTTCTTCCAGGTGCCACCTGGGTTCCATCAGATGCCATTTCTTGGCCTCCAACGCCAGCTGGGTGCCTCCAGGTGCCAGGAGGCACCATTAATTGACCCTTAATGCCATCTGAGTTCTTCCAGGTGCCATCAGACGCCATTTCTCAGCCCTCAATGCCCTCTAGGTTCTTCCAGGTGCCACCTGGGTTCCCTCAGATGCCATTTCTCAGCCCTCGATGCCATCCGAGTTCTTCCAGGTGCCACCAGACCCCCATTTCCCACCCCCCACACCCCCGCGGGCACCTCCAGCATCCCGCTCTCCCTCCTTTAGGACCGGAACCTCCCAGCCAGCAGCCCGAGGCGGTCGACGTTGCGATGCAGCACGCTGTGCAAAGCCACCAAATACTTGGCCGGATCTCCTTCGCGAGCGAAATCACGCTGGAAAAGCCCCCTGTGGGGCTGGAAGCTGAAGCGCTGCGGCAGCGGGCTGTGCTCCCTCAGATACTCCCAAACGCTCAGCAGCAACAGCCTGACCTCGAAGGGCGCCAGGCGGGGGAAAAGCTCCTGCACCTCCCCCAGCACCGGAGGCAGCAGGGAGCCCTCGGCCATGCAGGCCACCAAGGCGCAGGAGGCCTGCAGGTGCCACGGCGAGGCGGTGGTGTCCCCGTGCCGACACGCGTCCCAGTGAGCCATCAGGGTGGCCAGCAGCCCCCGCAGCAACACGGAGCAGTAGCACAGAGCCGGGCGACCCATGGCCACCACCCGCAGCAACGGGAAAAGCAACGGCTGCTGGCGGAAGCGGCGCAGGATGCCGAGGTCGCGCTCCACGGTGCTCCTGGCCTGCTCCTCCGGAGGCCAACACAGCTCCCCCCCCGCCGCCGCCGCCGCCGCCGGGCACACGCTGTCCACCAGAGCCGAAGCCACCGTTTTGGCCGCCTCGGGGCCGATGGAGGGCAGGGGAGGCGGAGCCGGCTCGGCGGCGCGGCAGCAGCGCAGGAGGACGTTGAGGAAGGCCTGGCTGTTACGGTTCACCTCCTCCTGGCCCCTCGGCGGCGGCCCCGAAGGAGCCTTCAAGCCGTGCCCGATGACCCCGGCGTGGAAAACCGACCAGACTCCGGCTGAGAAATCCACGGCGGCGGTGAAGCGCCGGTTGGTGTCCAGCAGCGACGCGGCCGCGCCGTCTTTGCCGCCGCCGTCGCCGTCGTCGCTCGCCGCGCCACCGAACAGCTCGGCGTTGCCCCCGCGCAGAGCTCCCTCCACCAGCAGCTGCAGGGCGGCTTTGCCGGCGCTCGGCGTGACGGCGCTCAGCTTCTCCAGCAGCCGCGCCGCGTGGCACAGCCCGGCTCCGCCATCGGCGCCGGCGCGGCGCAGAGCCAGGAAGAAGTGGTGCACGGCGGCACGGAGCCCCGCGTGGAGCTGAGCCGGCCGCAGGCAACGCGGGGCCGGCAGGGAGCAGAGCAGCAGCGCCGCAGCTTCGGCCGTATCCGGCACGGGGTGCAGGAGGAGCTGCGCCAGCTCGGGGAGGTGCGACGCCAGCGCCGGCGCTAATTGCGTCCCTAACGAAGCGGGCTCGTTAGCGTCCTCGTTAGCGGCCACCAAAGCCAGGTTGTGCAGGAGCTGCGTGAGCCGCGGGGCTGGCAGAGCCCCGGCGTGGATGTGGCGCACGCAGAGCGCGGCGGTGGCGGCGGGGAGGTCGGCCAGGCTGGCGGACAGAACGGCGTGCAGCTGCGTGGCCAAAGCCAGCTCGTCCTGCCCCTTGGCCAAGGCCAGCAGGTGGAACATGGCCTCCGGAGCTCCGTGCGGGGCGGCGTAAACGGCCAGCAGCCCCAGCAGCTGGTGCTGCCACAGGTAACGCTTCCTCTCCAAGCGCAGCGTCTCGGCGCACAGCTCGGCCACGCGACCCCTCAGCGCTTCCAGGAAAGGGACGCAGCGTTGAGGGCCGTCGGCCAGGCTGGGAGCGGAACGGTTGTGAACCAATTTCTGCAGCTGCAGCAGCAGCAGAGCCACCAGGCGGTCGCAGGCCTCGCGGACGCCGTCGTGCAGAGCCAGGCCGGGAGGGGTGATGACCGAGGCGGGCATGGCCGTGTCCAGAAGGAACTGCAGGGTGCGGAACGCCCCGGCCGACGTCTGGCAGATGAGCCGCACCAGGAGGGCGACGGTGGAATCCAACTCGTCGCGGGGCAGAGGGGAGAAGCGTTGGTGGAGCTGGTTGAGCACCGAAGGTTTGAGGGACTCCACCAATTCGGCCGCCACGGTGCCCAGAAGAGGAGGAGACATGAGGGCGAGCTGCAGCAGGAAGGGAACGGTGCCTTTGTGCTGCCCGGGCGCCAAACCCTCGTGGAACATCCGCAGCAGCTCCTGCTTGATGCTGGCGCCGTGGCGAGAAGCCAGGTGGCCCAGGATGCCCACCACCGAGGCCAGCTTGGGGACGCGTTTGTCGCCGCCTCCCCCCACCGCGGCGTCCCCGTGGGCGCAGAAATCCTTCAGGCCGCACGACAGCACTCGGCTGATGATGGTGCCGGGGAAGGAGCCCCCGATGTGCGCCACCACCCAGTCGAAATGGGGCGAGTGCTGCACCGAGGTGTCCAGCAGGGCGTCCACGCAGGCGTCGGGGCACGAGGCGATGAGGGCGGCCAGGCACTGGGCGTAAATGTCCATCAGGGTGCGCGTGGCCTCGCACGACATCCACAGCTGCAGCAGCTCGTTCAGCCCCCGCGCTCCGTGCCGCCCCGAATATTTGCTGCTCAGCTGCCCCAGCAGCTCCACGGCCCAGGCGGCCAACAGAGGAGCCCAGGCGTTGGGTTTGGCTTTGATGAAAGCCAACAGGAGGCGCTGAGTTTCGTGGATCACCTCGGTGAGAGCCGACGGGGCGGCCGGGGGGAGGAGGAGGGGGTTGGAAGGGGGGTTGGAGGAGATTTCGGAACGCAGGCGGAGGTGGGCGCAGACGTGGTCGTCAAACAGCCCGGCCAAGTGCTGCAGGACGGCGTGGCGGGCGGCTGGCAGGCGGCGGAGGAGGCGGAGGGCGCAGCGAGCGTGATCCGGGGGGGACAAAGGGGTGCCCAGAGTGGGGTCTGAGCCCGTCAGGAAGGCTTTGAGCTCCTGGGAGAGGTCCTGGGGGCTGCAGAATGGGGATATGGGGGGCAATAGGTCAAAATTGGGAAGGATTTGGGGGAAATGGGGGAAAAATGGGATGAAATTGGGGGAAGAAGAGGGAAGACTGGGAGAGGAAGGGGGAATGGGGTCAACTGGGGAGG